TCTCTCTCTCTCTCTCTCTCTCTCTCTCTCTCTCTCTCTCTCTCTCTCTCTCTCTCTCTCTCTCTCTCTCTCTCTCTCTCTCTCTCTTGTGCGAGTTCTTAGTCTCATTGCTTTGGCTACCTTAGGGCTGCGCTCCCCGCGCCCACGAGGTAGACAATTCCCCCCCCCCCCAAGAACCCACTTTGTATCCTGGTCGCCCACTGCCAAAAATGTGACACCTTGACACAGACGCCGAACCCCACTAGACCGCAGTCTTAGGGCTGCGAACTGTAGTGCTGTAGGAGAGGTCAATTGAAAATCGGGCCCGTTTGCATGGGCAACACTACACCCGCACTACACTTTTTCAACGGGCTTTGAAAAGGGCGGGAACCCTAATCATATCACCCACTACACTTTGGGCGTCGTTCCGCAACACTCATAACTCAAGGATTTCTTGCCCGACATCGTTCCACGGTGCCCTTGAGTTTCGATAATCACGGTCGGCCATGATTAGGTTTTCGGGCGGGAAAAGCTCAAGGGCGGCTCAAGTGCGCCCCAGGCAAACCTACCCGTTTGTAAGTCACATCTCTCGGCACACTTGAGCTGCACTTGAATAAGACGCTGGAGGTGTGTGTAGAACTGCCCAACAATTTTCTCTTTTTCCCATTTGTTCTCCTTTTTGTACCGTGGTTGTCCTGGTTTAACCTTGTGCGGGCTGTTGCAGCACCATTCCCGCTCATTTCGAGCGTGGACTCTAGGGTTGAGTGAAACTAAACTTGACTCAGGTATTTTCTAATCGCGATTGGAACTCCATAGTGCACTTGAGTTTCAAGTGAAGTGGTGTGGAAAGAGGCCCTTTCTCCACGGGCTTTGAAAACGGAGGGAACCCTAATCACGTCTGGAAGGTGCAAAAAGTGCAGTGTAGTTCGCAGCCCTTAGGCTGCGGTATAGTGTGCTTCCGCATCTGTGTCAAGGTGTCGCATTTTCGGTGGTGGGCGACCAAGACGCAAAGTGGGTTCTTAGGGGACAAATGTTTTTTGGGGACCGGTCCTTGGCAAAATTGCGGACTACTTACAGCTAGCTCTTATAGAACCGGGACTTTTGAAAAAAGGAAGGACCGGTCCTCGGGTGGAAGTGGACCCCAAAAAGAAGTGGGGGGCGTTGCACCGGTCCCCAGGTAGAAGCGGACCCCAAATAGAAGTGCGGGCATGTGAATTGCAAAAGAGCCTTCAGGCCCAGGCATTGAGCCTCGTCTTCTCAAAACAGGGAGGTCAAGCACAACGAAATAGGCGTTTTGCAAGAGGCAACTTTGGCGATTTTCTGTGCTCGGACGAACATGCACAAAAATCTGAAATTTTGAGAATCCATAGATGAGGTCGTGTTCTTTCCAGAAATAATAATAGAACATTTACAAAAAATCATTTACACTGCGAAATAATCGCCGCGCCGATTCAGCACATTGTCCATTTTTGCCACTCAGCGATGCCTGGGCCTACTAAAAAAGTACTCCAAATTCAGTGAGCTTTCACGCTCAGAAGAATGCGTGAAAAAAACTGAAACTCGGAGTACTCGTAGATTTTGTTGTGATCTTTCCAGGAAAAATGCTAAATAAATAAATAAAAATCATTCCAACTGCAAAATAGATCGCGGCCGCAATTTGACCCATGTTTCAATTTTGCCATTCAGTCTCTCTCTCTCTCTCTC